TTTTCTACTTGAATCGATTAGAAGAAAAGTTTGAATAATACAATCAAACGAACATTAACAAGCACAACAAATTATTATAAAGAAAAGGAAAAACAAACAAACACACAAAACAACAACAACAACAAAATAATAATAATAAATAATAATAATAATAATAATAATAAATAATAATAATAATAATAATAATAATATGTCAATACGTCATATCACCAATAATCTTCCAACACTGATAATAGCAAGCAAAAAAGATTTTGCAAATTTTACCTGGTCCTGCCCTCCATCATAGTAATCCCAAGCCAAACCTTAGGATACACAAAATAAATATTACTTAAATTAAAAAGCTGGTCATCTCTTTCACAGACGTTCTTATGTTTGGAATTCCTGTGGTTAACTGTATTCCACCACAGGTAGTCCAATTTAGGGTTTTAAGACAATGAGATGAGCATTTACGCTGTCAAAAGTATCGCATACTAAGATTCAAAAACAAGGCATTTTCAGGCAAGATGTTACCAAGTGTTATACATAGAAGTGAGGCCATTGCCTTGCAATAAATTTCAAGAAAAACTATGTAAGATCCATGGACTTCTGAACATTAGCTGCAAATTATCCTTAGATAATTGAAATTTCTTGAAATTTATCAAGATCAAGATTAGGCCAACAGCATGAACTGCATGGGCTAAACTGCAATAAAGGCTATTGAGAATACTTATTGCAGTGTTAAGGGTCCATGTTATATTTGTAACTTATAACAGACCTCCTCGGCTTGGACTTAACGTTTTCCCATTTCAGACCATGTGTCATTTCCTAGAGTATCATTTCTTTGTTTAATGGTTGCTCTCGGTTGCACATGAGAAGATACATGAATATGGATACAACTCAAACAAGGAATATTATTTTCAAGGGAATGACATCTGGCTTGAATTGGGAAAACATTACGGCCGAGCCAAGGAGGTCTATAAGTTACCTGAAGGTACTTACTAATGAGTCTCAAGCACAATACACAATGTGGTGTAGTCCAGTTGACATCATAGCCACCAGTAGCATTAACTATATACCCTGTTATCAGGTATGTCTAAGGAAATCAACAACACAAAATGATACTCAACTATTAAAAAAACGTTTTTTAAATTTGGTCAAAAAACCAAACCACCTTTCCTGAAAACATTGAAATAAATGTTCTCCTATATTTGATTTCCAATGCTGCAGTTTTGAGGGGCAAATTCAAGTTATTTAATTGCATTAAGGCTAAGTGTCAATAAGGCAAATCATAACAGAAAATCATTTTGTGGCTAAAAACTTAGGGGTGTTAGTCCCCCCCCAACCCTCCAAACTCTCCTGCCTCCAGACTCCCTGGTTCCAGTGGTGTCTACTTACAAAGTTGAGTACAAATACAGCGAGCACTGTAGCTGCTTGACTCCCTCCAACCAAAAGGACAAGATAAACCATGGAAATGTTGATAACAGAATGTTTGGCACCCCAGCCTACAAACGACATTAATACTGTATATTGAGTCAACATAACCTTTTACGTACTAAAGTACTACTTTTAAACCATTTTTTAAACAAACATCAAATTTCGTTGAAAATAGACTGTATAAAAAAAATGACATGACGTCACTGTGTTACTATGGTAACTCCGATCGTGATATACTGTATATCATTTGAAACTTGAATCTATCTCTAGACATGTTATAACAATTTATTTGAAATTAGCTTATTGCCAGCATTGCATTTCCCATTCTAACTTTGAAGATATGCCACAAACAAAACCCAATAGAGCCACCTTAAGAGCAATTGCCTACAGCTTTGCTACATAAAATATTTTAAATGTACTAGCCATCACTGTAAGACTATAAATCCTGTTGGTGTTCTTACCATAGTTGAAGATAAGAAGAGCCAGGCCACAAATTATGAAATATAAATGCTAAAACAAAAACCAAAAAATAAGGGAAGGTTGATATAAATTTTTAATAATAATATTGTAATAAAGACCAATGTAATGCATAATTAATATGTGAAGCCATACAGAAAAATACATGGGCTCAGCTTGAAGACAGGTGGGCTAGCCATCACTAAATGAATATACCTAATATCTAGGGTACCAAATAATTGAAAGTAGAATTTTTGATAGTCCATTAGTTTAAATATTATTAGGGAGGAAACAGGAGGAAACTGGACTTCCATGTATAAAACTACTCTCTGAAAGTAGAATATAATATAGCTATAAGAATCTATAAAATATACATCTACACCAGAGAAATAAGACATGAATAATGATAATTATCATTTAAGGCCCCATCCACACGCCTCCGCAAATTTTTGTATCCGCAAATTTTATTTTGCGGGTATGAAAATGTTTGCGTCCACATGCAGCGTATTCGAATCGTTTTCAAATCGTTTTCACTGTCCACACGTTCTTCAGTTGCCCTGTTGCACGCTAGTGCGTAGTCCCTTTGACGGATAGTTTTTCTTATCGAGCATGCGCAAAATCGTGTTTACGTCAGCGTATTTGAAAATTTGCTGATACGACCGTCCAAACGTATCCGTATTCGGAGCATATTTGAAAATTTCCACTCTGGAGACCGTTTTCGAAAATTTTCGGGTACAGACACAAAAAATTTCGGGGCACGTGTGGGCCTACAGTGATTCTGCAAAAAGAACATGCCCAAGTCTTTTTAAATGGTAAAAAAAAATGCAATGCCTACTAAAGCTTATCATTGTGGATTTTCATTTGAAGTCAAAAAGACGTCATTTGACCCTAAAACTGGGAAACTTATTGAATAAAATACTAAATCACATCAATTTTGCTAGGAATGTCACTTGAAATAAACAATTATCATACATCCCTATTATCCATCTAGACTTACTTGAATTATTGCATTCTTTCTGTACAGGACAAGTCGGTAGAACACAGACAGTGGGTATGCTATCAAAGAAAAAGTTATAAGTTAGATTTATTTTATGAGAACAAGCAATGTTTTACTACTGAAAAATCCATACCTATGCCCCTGTGGAGGTGGAGTTGGATATGATGTAATAGTCCCCTTTCTCATTCAGTAAATGATACCACTGCGACTCATTTGTACTGTACAGGCTTAGCCTCATTTAAAATCAAATCATTTGCAGAAATCAACTGTAGATGCTTTGCGCCATCACAGGAGGCAGGAACAATTGAATCTGGTCTAATCTGATTTACACAAGAAAGAATTCAGTTTCCCAGGGGAAAATGACTTTATTTTTGTGCCTCGTGTCATGGCTGCCATCACATGATGGTGCCTCTATGATGTAAAGAATGTGCAAATTGAATGATATCTTAAAGAATCCTAGTCAAATACAATGCATTGTGCGCCAGATAATAATTTTCTCTGCAGCCAAAATGGCAGTTTTGTAGGTGAAGTTTGACAATCCAGTTATAATGGCAAAATCTTTTCAAATTAGATTAACTACAAAGTGAGCTATATAATCTTAAAGGTATCATATTGTAATAATCTTGATGAGTGTTTGGCGTAATGAATGCTTCAAGCAGTCCTCAGTCTAAATCAAATATAGTAATTTAATCATTTAAAACTTGATAAGCTTCAATTGGATTGTACATTTGTATTGATTGGATTTGAATGTAAAAGTATGCAAAATGAAAATGATTTTC